CCCCTAAAAAGGAGCCCCCTGCTAGATAGGACTGCTGACAAGTGGTCTAGACTTGGACTCGCTTTTCGCCTTCGAGAGAGAGAGAGAGAGAGAGAGAGAGAGAGAGAGCGTGATTGACATGACCTGTCTACAGTCTCTGTGACTTGAAGCTGCTTTCGGGCAGGTGCCAGGCATATCACGGGCTCGTACCCTGTCAGGGCCAAGTGAGGCACAACGGGTCATGTGCGATGTCATGGTCCAACAAAACAGCCACCTGCTTTTGCCAGGCCGTCAAGTTTTCACCATCTCCGCCACACTGCCGGGACTTGACAGTTGAATGGGGGTGTTTGCTGGTTTGCTGAAACTTGTTTGGACCGTGCATAGACAGGATCAAGAGCGTTAATTTCAGGCACAACGAAGTTTAGATTCCTGTTCAACATGCGTGCCCAGTTGCTTGTTGAATGCCAGGCATCATCAACCAATACCGTCTTCACCTTTTCTTCGATCCGGCCAGGACTCAACTGAACTGCTTTGTGGCTCTTGGTATTCGTGGCTGCGCTTCGGGTGTGCCCAGGGGTTGTCAACGCTTCTTGTCCTCTCCGGCTGGTGCGTCGACTGCCAAACCAAGCATGTTCTCGCTTGTTCCTGCGGCCATGTAGCCTCAAGGCCTAGAAATCCCACGGGGCAGAGGCATTCATGTCGAGTTGGATGATGAGAAACCTGTCGCTAACTGGTGAATAGAAGCATTTTCATCGAAATTTCACACCGTCCTGCTGTGCACTGTGGACTCTCTGTCAGATGTTGCCCAGTGCGTTCGGTCAGAGGTCTCTAAGGGCTCGGTTCCGTGCGTTGTCCGGCTGTACTTGCCCTGTCACTGCGAGGTTTTTAGCGTTGCTTTTGCTGGTGCCTGCAACTTCCCAGCCTGAGGCAAGCCGCTCTATCAGCAGTACATGAGACCTGGGAGGGCCTGAAACCTAGAAACAAAGCATCCGCATGTTGACTTCAGGGCCTGGGCTTCGTTCAACGAGCTGCATATGAGATGCGTGCAAAGCAGCCGCCAACGGCCAGCACACAGACGTTTGGTGAGGCGAGGAACGGGTGGCTTTGTGCTTTGTGGGTGTCTGACCAGGGACTGTAGCCGAAATTGAAATTCGAGGGCTCAGGCTCGGACTTGAGCGTCGTGTTCTCAAACCTGGACTCAGGTTTTCTGCTCCCAGGCACCCTGGCTGTGCTCAAGTACCTTCGACTGTCTCAACTCCACGGGTGCGCTGCCGGCGGAGGAGACACTGCGAGCGCGAATCGCCACATCGTCGGGTCAGCCGAATCTGCAGTCGTGGTGTTACTTTCAGGTCAGATGGGACACCATTGTGAAGAGCTGCCTGGTGGACCAGGATCTGTCACTCACTGCTCGGCAGCTCTTCCATCAAGCACTCCAGGCCCATCCTGCTGGAGAGGACAACGACGCACAGTACTGCTTCTTGAACGGGCTTTGCGAAGAGCAAGGAATAAGCCCAGCTTCTACGCTGGAGGATGCAACCGCTGTTTGTGACCGAAGATATCCGGAGCCCAACGGCTGGAAGTCAATTGGTTTTGCTGACCCGGCCTTGCAGCAACCTCCGACAACTGTTCCGCTAGCAGAGACGTATGCGAAGTCTGCTTGTGCACAAGGCAGTTTCCACTGCATGGCCGTGTATTGCCAGGAGACTTACTGCAAGATGGATGAGTACAGACAAAAGTTTGGTCAGGGCACACAGGAGACTCTGTAGACGTAGACGATGCCTCCGAATCCCAAAAGACAGAAAAGAATGTGCGGGAGCAAGCCAGAGGACTTGACAAAAAAGGTGAATGGAACCGGTTCATAGGCGGTGGTGGCGTTTGTGATTCTTGTATTTACCGCCCCGGCCTTGTGAACATTCAAAGATGTTTTGCTAGCAAGTGCATTACATCCTGGAGCTCTGCAGAAAGACGCCAACAAAGGTAGGTGCTTGGATCTGCGTACTGAGCCAGGAGACTCCACTGAGCTCTCAAGGCCTGGCAGTCTGAGAGCCTGTTCATTTTTTGTTGTGTGCTGCTGGGTGTCTGCCAGGTGGACGGCGTCGCTGGTCTTCCATGACCGAGGAGGCCGCCTCCCAAAGCTCCTGAATGGGATTGCACGAGTCGCTGAGCGTGCAGGAGATCATGACCGGAGTCCGGCGGCCTTCCAAAGATGCACGGGGCCTAGATGCTTTCATGGCACACGGACTTTGAGGCTTGAAGCGGCTTGAAGTCTTAGGCTTGTAAATCTTGCGATCCCTCCCTTCTCAGATCCTCACAGGTCCACCCGGGCCTCGACCTGGCCGCCTACCCGTCTCCGGGCATGTCTCCTGCAGTGGCCCCGTGGCGCAGCCGACAAGCCCGGGTCTCGACTGGAATGCGAGTAGGTGGTTCAGGGTCTGGAGCCTTCAGCAACGTCTAGGATCTAGAGTACAGGTAGATCGTGAGGTGGCTCGGCGAATGGGATCTTAGTTTGAGCATCTCAGGCCTTCGCCGCAGATGCGGGTGCCCGTCGCAGGCCATCGGGTGGCGGGGTCTGGTGGTCAGCCTTCTTCAGACTCTGTCTTCGAAGAGGTGGGCCTCACTTTCGGATGACGAGACTCAATCGCCGATGCTTTGGCCTATGAGGTGCGTTTCCAAGAACTTGGTGAGGTCGTGCGTCCTCAAGCCGTAAGGTCCCCTAAATCGTAGTCCACTTGTAACCTTTGTCTTTAGTATCACTCGCACCGAGAATCTCCCACAGCGCTTGCTTGTAGGCTCATTGTCGTGATCAGGCACACCCATAATTGGTGTTTGTCCGCAGCCTGCAAATGTCCACTTGGCAATATGAGTTCTGTAGATCACTGCACAGCCTCAGCCAAGTGGTGTTTCAGTCGCAGCCATCGCTTAAACCCCAAACCCACAGACCAACAACATGCGTGTGTGTGTATATATATGTATATATATATATATGTATGTATGTATATATATATGGTTCTCGTTCGTGAACTTCATGGAGTCACGTGCCAAGTGAATGCAAGTCTTTGCGCCACACTTGCAGGTTGCAATTCATTGCAGACTCAGGACACCTGTGAGGAATTGCAACAGTGGACATGTACGCTTTGCCGCTGAGCCATTTACACACGCATGCAGATGACATTGAAGCAGGCATCCACCATGAGTACACCTAACTTGTCGAGAGTGTGTCTCTGTGTGCGTGTGTGTTCCCATGCCAGCGGAAAATCGAATGCTTGAAAATCCTGCTTGAAAAGTCCCGACTGAAGTCCCCAAGCGGGGTCGGACTCAGTTTTAGGGAAAACAGCCCGGGCAAAGAAGGGTTTTGTTTCCCGGCTACTACCTGTTTGTGTCTTTCGGGTATTAAAGGGCATGCAAATACGGACACGCTACTTCGTGGTGTTTTGAAGGCGTCGCCCACCCACGCCTGTTCGTGATCCTTTTAAGATCCTTAGAGTTGGGTAAGTTGAAAGCTTTTTTCGGTTCAGGGTTTAGGGTCAGTTGCAAGTTTGGGGTTTGGGGGTTTTGCCGGGCGTATTGAAAGTGTCGGGTTAGGGGGTCTGCGGTTCAGGGTCCAGGGCAAGCTTAATGAAGTTTGGGGGTTGGCGGTTGGCTGTTCAAGTTCGGTTATCGTTGGGCTCTCCACGTCCCTGCTTATCCTCCTAACCCTCTTTATAGGAATTGGGTCATGTTTCACATGCTCTGGAAAACAGCCACAGGAGGGGAAACCAGCTGGCTGTTTAGGTGACCTTTCAAGGGGGGTCTTCAAAGTTGCATCGCACATGCACGCAGAAGTTCTCAGTCGAAGGTGTGCCTGCACTTTCAAGAGGTCCGCAGCGTACGTTGCTGTTTCAACCCTGCCTGCAAGTGGCCAGGTCACCAGTTCTTCATGGACAGCCGGCGCCCTTCTTCACGAGTTGGCCTGGGCGTGTTTGCGCGTAGCCGTCTCTCTCTCTCTCTCTCTCTCTCTCTCTCTCTCTCTCTTTGTGCGCATGTCTGTGGGTTTGCTATGGGTTTGCTATCAGATTCTGGAAGGAGGCAATGGGCATGAAGGTTCTAAGCCACGTTCGCGGTGCACAGCTGTGACTTGCTAGCCGAGGGCATGAGTGGCTTGTGTAAGAACCTGATGATTCGACACTGCTCGACTCCCCCGTCGAATCGTTGCATCCTGCACTTGAAGTAGGTCCTGCAGGCATGTGATTTTGTCGGTGTAATTGATTGTAATTGCCATTCCAAGGCGTGGAGGGCGTCGTAGCCACAGCGGCACACCATTGATGGGACCCTCGGCAGGCCAGCGTTTCTTCCACAGGGCCGCTCTGCTTGTTGTTCCTTGTTGCAGTGGGGCCCAATCTGTGTCCGTGCTGGCCTTGTGAGGCGGAATTCCAGGACTTGCGAAAGTCTCCGAGCATGCTGCGGCTGGGCAGAACAGGGACATGAGGCTACTGGAAGTACGTGAGATCCGGACGCAGCTTTCGAGACTTCTTGCCAAGGTCGCTGAGGAAGTGGAGGACTTCATGCTACCGCCGACACCACAACCGCAGGCACGGATGGGGCCTTAATTTCTGGGAGGTGAGCCGACTGAACAGAGCATTTCCTTCGCGAGGCTCAGTTGGGCACTTCGCCAACCTCGAAGCCGCCTAGTCCAATTCTGGTTGCACGAATTCCCGCTGGATGTGACACATTGCACGAGCAGATCATGTTCTGCTGAAGCTGAGGCAAGTGCCCATGACGCCTGAGAATTTCCCGGCTTCTTGGCATGAACGCGGAGTCAGAAGTGGTGGGTCAAGACACCCTGCGAGATTTGAAGCTTCCACACATTGCTTGCTCTAATTCGGCATGTGGCCTGCTGCCCAGATGGCCTGGCCGAACCCATGGGAGTCTGGGCCGATGTTTGGCTGCGACCAGGCCGCCCGAACTTTCGGCGAAACGATGGCAAGATCTTCTGAGTGTACATGGTTGACGAACATTGCTTGAAGTGTTTCGCTTTCACTCCACTTAGCTCTGCTCCACACCCTGCTCTGCTCCATTCCACCTTCTGTCGCAGGCCATGGCTGCACAGTGGCAGCAGCAGTCTTGACCCTACCTAGCCCTATATTTCGAGACGGTGACATCGCCTGATGGCCGAGGTGGATCATGCGGCAAGGCGATCCGGCCTGGCCGCCTCCCTGGTCCCAGGCTCCGGAAAAGCCTTGACCGCAGGCAGCAGTGGATTGCGGTCCCTGGTGCCAGGCAGGCGGTCTCTACCCTCTTGCTCCTCAAGTTGCTGGAGGCATGCAAGTTGCTGCTCTGGAAGACACCTCTTGCATTTTGGGATTGAGAACTTGACGTTGCTACAGAGAAGCAGGTGACTGAGTTTTTGCTTAGGAGCGCATGATTCTCAAGACACTGGCAACTCCTGAATGGAACATCCAAGTTAGTCACACCGGTCGTGCAGTGGAAGGCATCTATCTCTCCATCTCAAAGTACAATCTAAGCTTTGACATTACAGGTTGTTTCGGCAAGTTCTACGCCATCACTGTTTGGGTCATGCCCGTAGCTACATAGGTCATGCAGAATAAGTCTTCAATGGAATTGGCCCGCCTTCATTGAAAGCCTTGAAGGAGCCTGAGCAGGCAGTGTTGTCTGGCCGTTGTTTTCACTCTCAACACTGCTGAGTTGTGCAGGTTTCGGAGCTTCGCTCTCAGCAGGGCCGTTGCCACATGTGTGTGCGAAGTCGCAAGCATGTTGCTCCACCATCTGTCTGGCGTTTTTTCGGCACATCAGTTTCTTCATTAAGAGCAGGGCGGCAGTTGAGAGTTCATCTCGTGATGGTTCTGCTGGTAGTGTGGATCGAACTCTCGCGCAATCCAAGGCAGCAGATTCTGCAAGCAGCAGCTTTGGTTGGGCTGGGGGCTTGATGCATCACGTGCGAATCTGCACGGCCAGTGGTGGCTGTCGGTGAGAGTCAACCCAACAAAGCGATAATGACAGCAGTGAAGGTCCCGATGGGAGCTGCTGGCGCCGAGATCTCACAGGACTTTCACGGGCCCTGCAAATCTACAAGTCTGCCGTTATTTGCTTGTCCTCTGCCGCTGTGTTTCTGTCTTAGTTTCGCTTGTGTAGGTGCTTCCAGTCTCAGCATTTTGCGACTGAAGATATCACATTTGTGTTTTGAACTGACTGGTATGTGCAGCTGTTTTGCAGTGTCCGCTTTGCCAATCAGGCGCAAATGTGGCTTGGTCAAGAACAAGCTGCCGAACAGTGCGCTGCACAGCAATGCCTGAGTGCATGTTACATTGAGCCGCTAGAAATCCTGTAGAGAATATCTAGAGTCTGCTGGCATTTTGGTACACCAGAGTCCGCTGAAAGCATAGTCTTTGGTCGGCCAAGGATGCAGCTGAGCGACCCGAGTGGCTCCGCAGCCCCTTGCCCGCTCGCCATGGCCTCAGTGCACTAGCAGCTGCTCCTCTGCTGCGTCAGTCTGCTGCTCGCTGGCCTTCGTCGCTTTGCTTTGATGAGGTCTGGGTCGGAGAGCGGGCCTTCCGAGCATCCGTGCTGCCGGCACTGTTGGTGCTGGGATTGGATGGGCCAGTGCTCTTGATATTCTTGTTCTGTTCGTGCTTCTCCTTGGCGAAAAGGCTGCTGCCTGTAGGTTCAATGCATGAGCGTTTCCTGGTTCTTCGGTCGAAGGCAGCGGCCAAGGAACAGATCGAGGGCCTTGGCTATTCGATCAAAGTGTACAGGACCGGTGAGCTTTCAATCATGTTTGTCAGCTTTTGAGGCTTAGTTGCAGTCACTTTCTCGCTGCACAGAAGAGGATGTCCCTTGCAGATAGCTCGGGTCGATGTTGAAGCTGTTCTCCCACGAGGAGCCATGACCGCTGCAGTCGGATGCTGGATAAGAAGAGCGACTGGGAGTGCAAGCTAGCAGCTAGCGGTCAAGAAATCGTCAAACACCGGTAGCTCGTCGTGCCACCTCCACTTGGCTCAGGTGCCCTAGCGTCACACTCCGTTTTCCTCGTCTCGGAGGCTGAGGGTGAAGCAAGAGTTTGGTTTGAGCAGGTTTGGAGCTGACAGAGCAACTGAAAGCAGCAAACACGGGCAGCCAGGATTCAGAAAAACAAGCCAGGTTGCGATTTTGTCGACTTGGATGTGTAGGTATGCATGCAGGGATGGATGAATGGATGGACGGATGGATGTATGTATGTGCTTATGAACTTTTGTCTATGTCCTTGTACATGTACATGTAGATATGTACATGTATACATATATATATACACACACAGGTTTATTGGTTTTGAAGGGTAGAGTATTATGTATACGATCTGTTGTTAATGTAATGCACGACAGTGCAGATAATACAGGTAAGATGATTAAAAGCATGGATAGTCAGGAGATCTTAATAATTGGTAATGCTACTCTCTCTCTCTCTCTCTCTCTCTCTCTCTCTCTCCATACGCATAGTTATCTATAAAGTGTTGATTGTACATTTTGCTGCAACGTGGCAATACGTGCATGCATGCATGCATGCACGCATGCAAGCTTACGTACAAACATGCAGAAGCCAAGTCATTGCAGATTCTAGCTGGATGCTTTTGCAACTTGAGTTCCATACTTTTTCTGTTGTTCTGGCCTGTTCCCAGCTTCTTTTTGGGTGCCCGTCTGTGTTCTTGTTGCCGCGACCAGCGAGTCGATGCACCGTCTTTTCAATTCGTAGATCGTGAAGCTGCGGATCTGAGCGGCATTTTGCAGGCTGATGCGAAACCAATGCTTCAGTACCTGCGGAGCCGATCTGCGACTGGAGTGCGTGTGCTGGTGCGCCGCCCCGAACACGCATGTCCGAGCACCGTTGCGCCGGTAGGTGTCACTCCTGTAAAGGGCGGGACTGAAGTGCTTCAGTGTTCGTTCGACATGCGCAGCCGTTTTGGTGCAAACTCCCCAAACTCCGTCTCCGCCATACAGCTGCAATGCGCCCCAATGCTACTCAGAAGCACGAAGGCTGCAATTTCTTGGTCTTGTTGATATGTTCGGCCTCCCCAACAGACGTTTCAGGAGGTCAAGCCGGCCGTGATCGCCAATCTAAGTGCCCCAACATTCCCAACCTTTTGATGCATAGATCACAAACAATGCAAAGAGGCTGCTGCAAAATGGGCTTGTAAGTCGCACACAGCTGCTGGTTAGCCGTGGGCAAAGCTCAAACCCATGAGCTGTGTATAGCAAGGAGTCAAAGTTGTGCGCGATGGACGTGCTTCTACGTACCTGCGTGCGTTTAAAATTTGCAAGCAGGCCTGTGCAGAAGTGCGTGTACAGTGGAAGCAGTGTGAAGTTGTGACAACCTCCTTGCTGCTAGCTGGAAGGCGAGAGTGTTGACGGTGGAGCATTGGTTCCTTCGTGCTTCTTCGGACGTTCTTGTTGTGATAGGGTAATCATGTGGCCTGAGGCATGAAACTGACGGAATCCCTGTTCTACCAAGCTGGTATTGAGAACTCCGCAGTTGTCAAAAGAAACAATCAAAAACATGAGACAAAACTTGAGTGGTTGTTGGCTAGCTAATGCTAGCTTCTGCCTGTGAAGCTAGGATCCAGCTGGTCTTTGCCATCCCTGGAGTCTTGTGGCACTTCTGAGGACTCCCTGCTGCTCACGAATGTACCGGTGGTGCGGAGAAAGACGCAGGATGGGTGCCGAGGCAAGACGCGTCAATTTCCGCCCAACATGCCCAGTGCAGGCCAACACCGCGTACACTTTCGATGCATCGAATGGCGTGGGGAGCTCGGCTTCGGCTTCGGCTTAAACTTCATGCCACTGGCTGCCAAGATGTTGTCGGCGGCTCCAACGCCTCCACCGCTTCAGCGCAGCTTCAGCATTGGCTCTCTCTTCAGGCCGTCGCATGTATACGAGAGCTCAAAGGCAGCTCCTCCCTCGAGCAGGTCCCTGCCGGCCCTGAACCCCGAGCCGACACCAAAGCGGAGTTCGCGCCGTTGCTCGGAGATGCCCAGTGTAAGCATGGAGGCACCTGCCGGGTAAAACAAATGGGGGCCCTCATCCCAGCGATCTTTCGAGTCGAGGCGCTGCTGGCCCGAAGCTCGCAGCGGCGGCACACGCGGCTTGGAAAGACGGTGATGAGCACTTCACTCGCCATATAGGGGGAGGGAAGACAAGAAGACGGGTAGCGAAATGTAGTGAAGATCTCTTTTGTGAGGAACCAAGCCTCCAGGGCCTCCAGACCACGGTTAGGACAAGGGCAATGGGCAATGGAACTGGTCATCTCAAGGAGTCTTGCTGCGATGGTACTCCGTGGGCTGTCGTGCCATGGGGCGGAGATAGCCTCCTGAACCAAGGGATCCTGGGCGCGCAGTACAGCTGGTTTTCCATGGCACGCAAAGCCTTGGCGCCCAGATCTAGATTTGCAAAGCAAATGAGAGAGCTTTCTCTGATTGCGGGCCAGAGTGTGTGCATGCTAGGCGGCCGGCGGCCCTCCCTCATCGACCTCTCTGTGCCGTTGCCACCCGTGCTGGCCCCGAAGTCGGCGCCTTGGAACCTGGCGGGAGGACCCAGTCCCCAGAGTTTCCGAGTCAGGTCGGAGCCACTCAAGACGGAGAAAGGGAAGGGTGCAGAGACTCAGAAGCCTGCGGAGAAGTCCACACTGGAGAAGTGCAACAGTCCTCGAGCCAGCAGGCGGTGTCCATGGCATGGCTAGGTCTGCCATCTTGAGCTGCATCCCGCTTTGCAGGGACACTACGATGACACCCAACTCTGCAAGCCTGGCATCCACCGATGATGATGAAGGAGACCTGCACGACAAGTTGCTTTTCAGGTAATTAGCATGTCACTATGCACTCCACTGCAAGCGACGACGAGGTGTGCTGATGTCTCCTAATGTCCAGGTGCGTCTTGTTTAAGACTAAAATGACTAAAACATGCCGATGCCAACTTCGTGACCGAAGGAGGCAACACTCCGAAGCAGGTCCGTTTCCGAACGACAATCACGGAATGCGAGGTTTGTGGCTGAGGGCATTGGCAGCTCTGCTGGGCGTCTCTAGTTGAAAGCTGTCTCGAGCTCCGGGAAGGTATCAACCCCGTACGGAGTCATTTACGATGGCATTCGCCCCATGGACTTTGACTTCGATCGCTGGGGACGGAAGGCTGGTGTTGGGGCATGCTGGTGTCCTTACATGACATGCCAAGAGATGTGCATGTGCACGGGTGCGATCGGCACCGCTGGCAGATCTACCACTTCTTTCCGAATCCTGAGGAGGCAGAGGCCCCTTTGCTTGACGCATGTGACGCAATTGGGAAGTTTTGACAATCTTCTCGGACCTGGTGCATGGTGGCAGGAGGACGATGACTGAGGTGGTGGTTGCGTTGAGGAGCTTCGGGACTGTCATTTCTGCAAGCATGAAAAGCCACTGGCATGGCTTCACAGATTCGTGCTCTATGTAGGTAGGTCGTCTAGACCCATCGTGGCGATGCAACATAGGGTGTGCGCAGCAGCACTCACCTGCAAACCCTTGATGGAGGAAACTGTGCACCCCTCACTATCCCTCACTACCCTCAAATCTACTGCACTGCCGTCAAGGTTCCGTACCCTCCACTTATCTCTGTCTTCAGTGGTACGACGTACTTTTTCGTTTACCCGGTCGGTCGGTGTGTGTGTGTGTGTGCGTCCGTCATGGGTAGAACTCATGTCCGGCATCTTGGGTTCGCAGCATGACACGGTAAGTGAATGTGTGTTATTTGTCTGGCTGGGAGCATGCGTGCAGGTAGGACCGGTATGCATGTCTTGTCCTTTGTCTTGCTGATCCCCGGCAGGACATCAACACAACCTGCTGCAGAATTCAGGCCGTTCAACCTACCCGAACGCACTATGGAAACGCACGATGGAGATTCGGCGGACGTCAGCAAACGTGTATCTGAATGATGCTGCTATAAGCTGCAGACGGCGACGTGTTTTGAGCTGCAGCCGTCCTGCCCGAACCTCTCAACCACCATTTTGAATCCTCGCATCTCGAGGGACTCCGGCCTGAAAGGCCTGAACTGATCAAATGACTAAAATCTAGCATCGACCGCTCTGCAGTCTGACGGGACACCCAAGAACAATGCGCAGCGGCATAGCATGTCATAGCATAAGAACAGGTTCGAGAAAGGTGTAGGAGGGAAGTGTCGATACACTGCGAGTGGGTCGGCAGCGTGGCCGGTGGCAGAGCCCCGCAGTCTAGAAGCCAGTCCAACCTTCGCGTTTTTCCAGCGTTTGGCAGTTGCTAAGCCTCGGTGGGCCCTCCAAAGCATCTGGACAGCGTGAGTCTGTGTCAACCATGGGGCACAGACAACAGGTACAAGCACTGTCTTCGCAACGATGCGCCGGAAATTTGGGGCAAACAAGTGGGCTCCAGGCGGTGAGTCTTTCTTAAGGAGAGAACTTGCCTTGCTTGCATGATCTGCGACCAGAGTGGCGCAGTGCATCCGCACAGTGTCCCGAGTTTTGGCAGATGTGGCACAGACTGAAGGAGTGTTCGGAGCTCCTTTAGAGACCTGTGAGATTTGCCCGTCGCACGGGAGAATTAGAAGCACGATACCCGGAGTGTCACTGCCACCAAATAGATGTGCACTCGCTGTCATGAAGGCAAACCACCAAGCTTGTTACCAGTGGCACTTGGCATTCCACCCGCTCCTACACGAGTGTTCCGCCGCCCAAAGTTGCATGCGCTTTACCTGCATTGGGTAGTTTGCAAGGTCAAGTCATTGCGGCTCCTGCTGTCGGATGCGGTTGCTACCTTCCCTGCGTGCCTGTTTAAGCTTCTCTGCAAGAGGTGGATGCAGAAGGCTTCTCGGCACAGCAGGCGCGCCAGAAGCGTAGAGACAATTCCAGGGGCGGGCCGTGTTCCTGTGCTTTGAGGTCTGGGAACTTTCAGAGACGTTCCCAGAGCTGGAGGCTGGGGGTGTCAAAGCATGTCAAAGCTTCGCCTGGCCTAGCAGGGCCTAGCCTGCACTGCGAGGAGGCCTCGGCAGTTCGTGTCTGCGCCTCCTGGGACGAGGCGAGGCCGTCGCAGGATCTTAAGGTGGCAAGACTGTAGGGTCAAACAGTCGTGCACGTCCATTTCGAGTTACATGTTGTGGCCCGCTCCAGCTTTTGACATCTCTCTGCGAGATCTACCAGGAGGCACACGCAGCTGCACTGTGCTTGTGTGATGGGTGAAGGCAGTGAAACAAACAGGAATAGGTCGGATGACAGACGCTTGAGTCTTGCATGTATGTAGTATGCCGAGTGTGACCGGGTAGGGGGGGCCACGAGGACATTCCTGTCTAAAAGGCTTTGTACCTCGGCCTCAGTGCTGCGAACGCCTGGGCCAAAGAGAGTCCATTGCATCCCTGAGCACGTTGGTTACGGGCCGTGGATGGTTCCGAGGCCAGCAAGCTCCAAGCTGCAACCGGCCCTGCTCGGGGCACCTGGTGCACGTGTTTGCTGCTCGACCACGCTTCCCTCCCATCATGTGCCTCCCCTCCAGCGCTCTCCCCCGAACTTGACACCAAGCACTGGCCCGATTCTCTAGCAGCATCTTCCAGCACCACTCAGCAATGTTGGGCGAGATGTTCCTGGCATTCTCCAAACACGCATGAATCAGGACGGAGCATCGCTGCAAGACCCCTCCTGACGAACTCGCAGCCATCTATCTCTCCCGACACCCAAGCTGGCACCTGATTCTAGATGCATGATGCTGCATGTCCATTGCGCATACTCTTTACAAACAAACATGTGCCAAACTGTGCCCGATGTGATATTCGGATGAGTTGCCTGGGGTCAGCCTGGCTCGTTTGCTTGCCAGTTCGACAGCACCGTTGGCGGTTCTTCGGTTCGGGCGTGCTTCCTTGAGTCCTTGCAGGTCAGCGCTGTTGCAAGCAGTTTCTGACGGCGATGCAGAGCGTGCAAGTCAGGCGAGTGGAGTCGAGCGAAGGAGGGTGCTGAGCCTCTGCCTGTCTTGTGCCTCAGGTCCTGGCTCGTGGGGCACCCGTGGATGAGAAGGACAAGGTGGCCTCTCTCAAATCTTTGAAAGTCTCATAAAGTCTCGAAAGCCGGGGGCTTGGCACAGTGCCTCCGTTGTCCGAGGCAGGGGAAACCGCCCTGGTCCTGGTCGGTCGCCCAGAAGCCGACAACAAGTGCTCCCGTGTCACGTCCGGCACGCGGGAGGCTGTGCGAGCAGGGCAGGCTCGCCTCGTGGAGGACTTGCAAAGCTTGTCAGCGGGGTGAGAGCCTCTGCCTCTACATCTTTTCGAGCCCTGCAGAAATCTGCAGGAGCTGGTGCGGCGTGGAGCGAGCATGGAGGCCACAGCCACGGCGCCGAGAGTGACCGTGGAGGAGTCAGTGCGGGGTGGGTTTCAAGTTCTCCTGAGCAAAAGACATTGCCGACAAACGGCCACTGCAAAATGGATCCCAGAGCCAGGTGAGAGACCGCCAGCGGAGCTGGACACCGCTTCACCTGGCATCCGCGAAGGGCGGTGCCGACCGTGGGATGCGCAGGGGATCATTGAAGTCCGCGCCGGTACCAGTACTGCTTTTGAAGTCGAGATGCCGAAGCGTTTGTGCATTGCCAGCGAATCCAGCCTGTTGGATCAGGTATGTGCGCATTCATTGTACGGCAATGATTCCACAATCACTCTCCTTTGGCGTGCATTGAAAAACTACAACCGGCAGGCCCCACTTTGAAGTGACTGCACGAGCACACATCAACGCAGAGCCTGACGGTGCGACACCCATGAATTCCGCCTTGCACCTTGTTCGGCGCCGGCGTGCGCGCCGAGTCGGCGTGCCTCGGCGGGACTGGTGCTAAAATGCTGATATGGGTGCTTGTGGGTGCATCACTGTGCACGGGCGCACACACGCTCCAAGTACACCTTACAATCACACCAGAGCATCTTCCAGTTTGCGTTCGAGCTTTCCATTTTTGTCTTGACTGAGGGCAGCACCCTGGAAGATGGATTCTGGTCTGCAGTTGAGAACACTCGTGCCGGCTTTTCGCCAATCCAAGCTGGGACACTGTGAGCACCAGCTCAGGCTTTGAGCGGCTGTTGAGCAGAGAGTCTGATGACTTCTTCCGCTCTGAGACACAGCCAGCCTTCGTTGGGCAGCAGGATCCGAGGCTTGGTTCTCTGCTGGCCCTGCCTGCCCATCTGTGAAGGCATGTCATCAGCTTGGACGGGCCCATGTTGTTAGTAGCCTCGAGACCACAGCTGTTCTCCTGTTTGAAGGCGAGGCCTCAAAATGAAAGCTCGACCGCTAAGGAAGCTGGCCCATCTGCAGATTGCTGCATTGGCTAAGAACTTGTCCATGTTGGACAGTTTGGAGGAGGACCTCGTCAAGGCACTCGCCTAAGGGGCAAGGTTCGTCAAGAAATGTCTCATGGCCTCGGTACCTGTGAGTGGACTCCATCTGCGAGCATGCGGATCGTACAGTCATCTTCGAGAGTGGACTCCATCTGCGAGCATGCGGATCGTACAGTCATCTTCGAACTCGAGATGTAATCTGCCTGGGCTTTGCGCTCAGCGCTGCACTTTTGACGGCTGGTGTCCCAAAACTTGACGACTTCCCTGCCGACTCCGGCGGAGACTGCGCTTGAATTGTGCCTGAAGGCGTATCATGATGTGGATGTAGCAGGCGTTCTGCTTGGCTTATCCGTTGTGAATGATCCTGCAACTATCGGGTTATGTCGGTTATGCCTACTGTAGTGTCAGTGCATCTCACAGCAAGCGAAGAATCAAAGTCAGAATGTTTGTTTTTCCGTCTATCTGTCTGTTTGTTTTTCTGTGTGTCGGTACGTCGGCCTCTGTGTCTCTCAACACTCCGTGCCTGCTTGTGTGTCCGTCGTCTGTTTGCCAATGTGTTTGTCGTCTGTCCGTCAGCCAGTCAGTCAGCAAGTCAGTCAGTCGAGCCGTATGCCTGCGTGTCCGTCAATCTCTCTACTCACCAATCTGTCCACCTACAGACCTCTAGGATCCACATGTACGCTGGATGGAACGATAGACAGAGCAGTCATTCAGTGACGAGGCATTGGATGACCTGGAAACTGCTGCGCATCAAGCACAACTGCTGCTTGCTTGTAAACTCACCCTGATGTGCCGATGGCCGACCACTGTGCTTGGTTTGTGACAGCACTTCAAGGTCCCAGCTTGGCTCGGTCTCTGCAGCTTACAAGTTCCTCCGCGGCTGCTTCAGGGGCCAAACCCTGCAGGTGTGATCTGCACCAATGCACCGTGGATATGGCTTGAGTCTAGAGTGTTCGCACTACTAGAAATGCAGCGCATTGCATCTATGCGTCCAGGACGTCACGCCCCTCATGGAACCACTGCTGAGCAATGCTGAGTTGCTCGGCACTGATCGTGCGTGTCTGCGCCGACGTCCCTTGGTCCATCTGCGCCTGGAAATCATGTGCGGTGCTTGTTCTCGGGCGACGGCTGCCCGGTGCTATACCAGACTGTCTGTCGTTGCCGCACGGTCGTGAGGCAGAACTCAGCTCTCTCTCTCTTTCCCAGTTTCAGACAGTTTCCAATGTGTGGACCGACTGCAAGCCCGAGGGAACATCACGCCACCTCCACACCACGCCAACGCGCGTCGGAGCAGCGGCAGCGCTTTCTGAGCCCCACGGCAGCAAAGCGGAGCTGGGGCAGCCCGACGGTGGGTGGGGGGTGGGGGGCACATGAAGGCTGCTTCCATGGTCCAAGGCCTGTTGACCGATGCCCAGACGTATGCGAAGCAGCATCCAGATCACGATGGCCCCTCGGACCCGGCCGTCGGAGTGGGGATTTCATGAGACCAACCATGATAACTAAGCCTAGTGCCACCGCTCAGGCATCGCCCTGTTTCAGCAGCGCGTGGCCATGGCTTCGGTCATCATGTCTGATGTTCAAAGACCTCAGCAGATCCTTTCTGCCGTCAAGGACGGGCCGTACGTACCCTCCATAGAGGGAAGGATGCATGGTTTTCTGGGTTCAGGAGAGGCCGCCCTCGCATGCAGGATCCTGTCGAAGCAAGTCAATCAAGTTACTGTCACCTCATATGTCATGCATGCGGGCATACGACCATCTGATATATCTCTGGGCCCCTGGGATTCGATTGCAAAGAAATCAAAACCACATGAAACCGCCTTTCGGCAGTCTACAGTCTAAACCCTAGCCCTTAGATTGGAAACTAGGAATGCAATTCTCAGGCAACAAGCACTTTGGAGGATCGGGGGTGGGAGCACTTGGTCAAAAGGAGGCCATCTCTCTCTCTCTCTCTCTCGCTCTCCCTCTCTCTCTCTCTCTCTCTCTCTCTCTCTCTCTCTCTGTCTATGTATGTGTATGAAGAAGTATAAACATGCATGTGTGCTTACCTTACATACACATGCACCTGAGCACACATTCTAGTAGCATACAGTTGTAGTATATATATGTATATATGTATGTATGTATGTATGTATGTATGTATGTATGTATGTATGTATGTCAATGAATGTATGTATGTGCATACATACGTCTCCTAATTTTCGGCTAGGTAGGTCTGGAATTGGGGGATCAGTTTTGCGATCGTAAGAACTGCCCTGAGGCCATTTATCCGTGGCCATTTTGGCACGAGCCGATCGGCCGTGCCCAAAAGAACCCACCCACTCCGCCCTTTTCTGTTCTT